CATGGTTAGTAATAACAGACTATAGCAATGGTTCCCAAATTGAGGAGTATGTAAAATCCTTTGGGGAACTTGATGAATAATTTCAAGTCATATCTCAAGATTATTTTTTCCAGTAGGCCTAAGATGACCTCAGGAATTTTCATTTGAATTCATAAAAATCTGTTCAAAATTTGATGCTGCTGGTCTAGGGACCACACTCTGAGAACTCTTTGGTATACATTGAACTGTGAGATTAACCACTATATATTTAATTCCAACCTAAATAATTAGATTATTTCTAATCTTAAACTTACTTTGTCTTGGCCTGAAAATTAACCTATACTCATTTTTAAGAATGGTATAGAAAATTTAATATTTCATAAGACACTATACATAAATTTATAATGCCATCAACGTACCTTTGCACATTGGCTTTCCTATCCATTTGCCATTAATACATGTTATGGTATTGGACCCTTCCACTTGGTAAAATTTTGGACATCTGTAAGTCACTTGATCTCCTGACTTATATGATTCTTTCCTTTCTCCTAAAAGCGTGGCATCATCAAAGTTGGGTAAATTAAAACAATCTGTTCCTGAAAGAAAAAAAAATGTATTTGTTCACTAAATTAAAAAATATGTAATATTTAATAGTAATATTCTAAAATAATACTTAGCTACCTATAGAACCAATGAATAATGAATAATATACTTCTTACACCTTGGCAAAATATGATGTTTTGACTTCAATTGAACTGTTCTAAATTTATCAAACATATAAGATAGGAATGATGCTTGAAGAAATATTAGTAGTTCTAATGCTTTAGATCAGATTTTTACATTCAAATTATTTTTTTGCCCACACTTGCCACATGTAAATTTATGTATTTCTACTTTTGGCTTCTGCAAATGTGAATTACTTACAATAATTATTTCAAAGTTTTATGAAATATGTATTTTGTTGTGAGATTGGTGATGAACTGAGCATGAGATGGATGAGTAGGGGCCAGTTTTTCTAGGAACAGAGAGAGATAAAAATTCTGAGAATGTACATTAGAGGATGCTAAATGTTCACACAAAATGATGTGACAATGAAACAATTTGGCTCTTACTGTCAAACATTTTTTAATTACTAGGTTATAATTCTCTGCCAGACTCAAGAAACTTCAGGTACCTTGTAAAATTCTAGAATAACAGCTTACTTTTTTATTTGTACCACTTATACTTTGAATGACGGAATCTATCACACATATTATAAAATTAAATACACTGTACTTATGCATTCTGGTGGGGAAGACCATTTTCCTCCTAAACATTTTATAAATGCAGGTCCATCAATCCCAAAATCTTCAGAACAATTGTAAATAACTTCTTGTCCATATGGGTAACTGTCTAACTCATGAGACACAACACCATTAGGAATGGAAGGTGGAGGTTCACAAGGAAGTCCTAAAAAATAAAATAATGAAAGAATGAATCCATGTTTTACAACTCAGAAATTCAATTTTATAGGTCAATTTTGATATTTCACAGTTTTTGAAAAGAAATAATAATAAATAAGCTATTATAAAGTCACAGAGAATGTGCATAAAGGCTTCTTAAGTCCACCTTTCTCATGTATGTCCACCTCTCATACTGTAAAAACATGAGCAAGAAATTGAAATAAAAAATGTTGATGCTTTTAAGAGATCACCAGAGCTTCTCTAATAAACCATGAGTGAAAACAGAAACATTGAATAAATTGATGAGATGGATTTACCAAGTATTGTAAGACATCAGAAGGAACACTGTAAGAAAAATATTTTAAAAATATTTAAAATCTTGTTTGCAAAGCAAACACTACAAGTTACATAAATTTAAATTCACTACATGTTATATTTTTTTAAAAAGAAATGCCAAATTAAAAACTGACTCTATAATGAACCAATAAAATTAATAAAAATAGGATTGATTCAATAATGCAATAGTATTTTAATGGTAAAGTATTTAAATGATTAAATACATATGATAATCTATATTATTCTATACCCTGACTTTGACAAAAGCATATTATATTCAATTATTTGTACTCTCAATTATTTAAGTATTTGTATTCTCAAATCAGAATTCGAGTTTTCATGCAGTCCTCACCTACACACTGAGGTGGAGGACTCCATTTGCCCATGTAGCATGTTATCTCATCTTCCTCAGAGGTTGTGAAACCATCTTCACAACTATAATTCAGTTTAGTGCCATGTGCATACTGTCTGGATTCAATTGCTTCTTTCCCTTCTTCTGAAGATCTAGATGGACTAATTCTTCCATGGTCTATGTCAGGTGGTTGAGAACATGAAAGTTTTTCTGTATGAAAAACAGAAATCAAAGGGTCAAAGATAAATAAAATGTTTAAATTAAAACTAAAATCAAATACTATTTAAGCCTGTCATCAAAACATCTATGCTATCCTCTTGCCCAATATCTCCCTTGATTTGTGTCTCTTATATTATATGAAAAATATTCATAAATAGGAATTTATCTGCTAGTTACATAATATCCCAAAGTGTTGTCCAATTTTATTGACAGAAATGAAAGATGGTGACTGGTTTATGAACCTAGATCATAACTTACAGTTTTAGGATCAAGTGTAATAGAGAAATAGAAAAGGTCCTCATCTTTTTCATTTACATAAAGCAGAGGGGATTATTAACTTCAACTGAAAGCATGTTATAAAGCAAATTGTACACTACTGACCAACACAGCGTGGTATTGACTGCCATATTCCATTTTTGCACACAATTTCTTCTGCTTCCTTAATCAGATAATTTTCTTTGCAAAGAACAGATACTTTTTCTCCATCCTGATACTTCACTGTGGTTTTCATATCTTCAGCATTGGGAATCTGAGGTGGAGGTGGGCAGAAGTTTATCTCCACTTCTAGAAAATATTAAAATTAGATTTCTTGAATAAAAAATAGTAATTTACATATATTAAAATACTTTACAAAAAATAGAAAATTCAATAACTATGTATCACAAAATGATGATGTAATTATGTTCCATATTTATATATGTTATACTTTTCAATTTGGATGGCAGTTTAATATTACCTATTTTGATGGTCCTCCCATTTCTTCTTTTTAAAGCAAACTTCTTTATTTACAAGAAACTTATTATTTATAATCTTTAGATAATCTTAACTGATTAATACATTTTTAATCACAAGTATTAAATAAAGTATGCAATGAAGGTGATTTTAGAAATATACATGAACAAATGTATTGGGACTATAATAAAACCCTTTTGAAATCTACCAACAGAAGCTGATTAACAAGAGTAAAAATTTGCAGTCAGTTAACAAACAATTTGTATTGCTTCTAGATCATTAACCATAATTACAAATAATTTACAGTGTGCCATTTGAAGTTTCAACCTTCCTGAACTTACCATTTAGAAGCACACTCACATTGCCTAGGGGTATATAAATTGAGGGTATATATCCAGTTTAATGACTACACAGTTTAACTGTAGTTACACAATTAGTAGGGTATAAAATACCCCTTTGCAAACTTATATCTCAGTTTCCATAAAGCTAAATTCCTCAGATGTATCTTGATGGTTTATAATGTGAAGATGAACTATGTCCCTTTTGACTGGGGGAGGGCTCTGGATGAATCTGAAAGCAATTGGACTTCTGATTTCTTGAGCTTGCTTTCTCCTATTTTACTGTATTTTTTAGTTCATTAAAAGCCTTAGGCAAGTGTACACTAGGAAATACTGTAAATCTTTTCAAATGTGTGTTATGCTGTTAATAGCTCCTGGAGATAGTTTACTGAATAAACTTGATTCATGATTATTATTTACTCCAAGGTTTCTGTTTTTGTTTAAGCAATATAATCACATTTTATCAATAATGTTTTCTAATTTCTATTCTTAAATATTTTGACATATTTCTCAATGTTTTCATTATATATTTTCATAAATTTATTTTCCTCAATTATTAATAATGTTTAATTATTCTTCCTATTTTCCTTAAGTATGTTCTTTTTTGGCTTCTAGATTGTTTTATATATTGCTTTTATTTTGTTCTTTGTTTTCTAATGTATGTTTTAATGCTATAAGTATATCTGTATTAAATCTGTTCCATAGATTTCAGTTTATACTACAATTACTGTCATTTAATTTAGAGTAATTTTTGGTAGTAAATAATTGATAATGAAGTTGTTTGTTTGTTTTCCAATTTTCCAAATTTGCAAGATGAGCATTCAAGATATCTAGTTAGCACTTTCATTACTTTAATTTTTACTTTTAGTTTAGAGAAAATACTTTAGGAAGTTGATTATTTAAAATTCATCTAGATTTCCTTTATCACACAGATATGATTAGTTTTTTAATGACCTGGCTACCTTAAAAGTAGATAGTGTATACCTTAGGATAAGTGTCTAAAAACTTGGAAATAAATATTTTATAACTATAAAAGGGTTACTTCACAAGTCCAAACAAATGTTGAATATATGTCTAAAAACATCAAAATACCTAAAATATAGACAGAAATAAAGAAGAAAAAGGCAAATCCCTAATCCTACATATCAATATTGACACCATTCATGCTATGACTTACTGAAAAAATAGGTAAAGTTTTGAAACAATATGGATAAATTTGAAAACCACTATTCACTTTAACCTTATATTACAAATAGAATATATGCACATTTTAAAAAAATATTTATTTTTTAGTTGTAGTTGAACACAATATCTTTATTTTATTTATTTATTTTTTTATGTGATGCTGAGCATCGAACCCAGGGCCTCACACACAAGTGCTCTACTGCTGAGCCACAACCCCAGTCCCATATATGCATATTTTTATGTGAAAATGGAGCTATAAATAAAATAGAGAACATACAGTCGAATTTTTTTTTTTAAAAAAATCATAGTATTGAAATATTGCATAGTTTCCTGAGAACAGAATTAAATAACTACACAGTCTGATAAGAATAAGTTATCTACAGAAAATAAATATTTGGAAATGAAAGAGCACACTTCAAAATAATAATTGTTGATCTAAAGGATAAATCACAAGGAAAATCAGAATATATTTCAAAGGGAATACAAATTAAATATAAATTATATATAATATATATACATAATTTGAGTTTATAAATAAATACATTTTAAATAAAATAAAATACATAGTTAGATATTCATATACATATTTATATGTCTAACTGTGGGACACAGCTAAGGCAGGTCTTTAAAAAGTGGAAATTTGAAGTTTTTATTTCAAATGTATGATGATTGAAATTCAGACATTAATTACTAACTTAAAATGGTAGCAGTGGTCTATGAATTTAGCTCAGTCATAAAATGCTTGCCTAGTGATGGAGGTGCAAGGCCCTGGATTATATCCCCAACACCATGCACAGAAAAAAATGAATAAAATAAAGGTGAATGGTAATAATAAAATTAAACTCAAAGTCTTTAGAAGGAAGAAAACAATAAACAGAAAATTGACAAAATTAAAAAGAGAGAAGAGAGAAAGTTAGCAAAGCCTAAATTTGAAACTTTAAAAATCTAAATCTGAATGAGAGAAAACGGATAAAATAGGGTGTTAAAGTTGGTTACTAAAATTATTAATAAAATTGAAAAAAAAACTGTTATGATTTGGCCCCAAACTTCCTATGTTGATGCAGAAATGTTCAGAGGTGAAATGATATGTGACAGCTCTATCCTAATCAAACCATTCCAGTTTGAGTGGACTAAATGGTAACTGTAGAAAGGTGGGGGAGGTGTGTCACTAGGAATATGCCCTAAAAGGATGTTCACCATCCCTGTGGCTCCCCATTCTTTGCTTCCAAGCTATCATGATTTAAGCAATTCTCCTCTGATATGATACCCTGCCTCATCTCAGGCTCAGAGCAATGGATTTGGCCAACCATGAACTGAACCTCTGAAACTGTGAGCCCCAAATAAACTTTTCCTTCCCTAAGCTGTTCTCAGGTATTTTCATCACAGCAATGAAAAGCTGACTAACAGAAAAATGATAAAGAAACACGATAGAGGACAGCATATCAAGAATGTAACAAAGGAGTGACAGATCAGGAATCCTCAATCCTCCTTTTCTCCATAGACACTGGTCAACAATACATGAACCAATTCTCTTTGAGAGAAATCTACAAAGTGGTTGAAAGGCTCTTAATGCCAGGTGAGCCCTAAACAAATGCATCAAAGCCAGTAGGAAAATTCATGTCTTTCCATACCTCTCCCCCAGCACAGAGCTACACAATTGATAATAAAGTCCAGTTTCCAGACTTTTATTGGGCAAAGAAAGGAAGAGTGGAGCTTGTGTCAAATGCTCTGAATTTTCTGAAATTTTGTGTCAATTGTCTCAAAGTCATGATGCGATGGAATATACTTCAAATGCTCAAAGACATGCCCCCAGTGATGTGCCTCCTCCAGTCATATCTTACCTGTTTTTAGTCACATGCCTATATAAATTCTTTTTAAGCTGGAAGTATAGTACAGTACTTTTAGTCAGTAGTTTTTTCATATTAATAATCCATCAAATGGATTAATCCACTGATTAGATTACAGCTCTCATTACCTAATCATATCACCTCTGAACATTCCTGCATTTCACACACATGAGTTTTTTTTGGGACAACTTATCTAAAACATAAAAATAACCAATAAGCCAAAGAAGAAATCAAAAGAAAATTTAGATAGTATCTTGAGACACATGGAAATGAAAATATAACTTGCCCAAACATACAATTCAGCACAGTAGAACTGAGAATTACATCACATCATGTACGAGTAGAGTTTTTCCTCAAGAATGAAAGATTTAAGGGCTGCAGTTGTGGCTCAGAGGCAGAGCACTCGCCTAGCATACGTGAGGCACTGGGTTCAATCCTCAGCACCATATAAAAATAAAATATGTATCCATCTACAACTAAAAAGCATAAATGTTTTTTTAAAAAGAATGAAAGATTTAAGATTTTTATATGTATGTGTGCACACAAACATGTAAAATTCACTGTATTATCAATAAAGAAAATGTATTTAGCATTTATTCAACACCCCCCAATGATCAAAATTTCTCAGCTAACTAGGAACAGAAAGAAACCCCCTCAATTTGATAAACAGCACCTATGTAAATCCCAAAATAACATGACACTTATGGTAAAATATTGAATGAAGAGTGCTGAAATAAATCAATACTTTCATAGTAATGGATTCTTTTTCATACATATTGCTTGAACAACTGGCTATCCATACAGAGAAAAAAAACAACTGCTACTTAACCTTGTACTCAAAATTAATATAAGGTGATAAAACTAAATTCTAGTACTGTAAAGCTATAAAGCTTCAGGAAGAAAATGTAAAAGAACATGTGTTCTTCATTGCATGTAAATTGTTTCCTTTTAAAAAATTATCTCAACATATATTATATATAATCAGAGATACGATAAATTATGATATAATTGTGTATTAAGAATTTTAATGCAAACATAAATAAATAAATAAATATTACCAAAATAAAATAGAAAAAGAAAATTATCAAGTTAAAATATATGCCTTACATTTCTTTTTTAAATTGGTATGGCCATACTTCCTATATATTGGTATGGCAGAATTTCAAAACTATTGAAGCTAGTCCTTATAATCACAGAGAAAAAGATATAAAAAACTGAAAGACTAGAATGCTCTTTGCTATTCAATTGGAATTGCAAGTGTCAGTACAACCCAGAATTTTCAAGGCAGATAGAGACAAAAATTACCTTCCAACTTCAAAAGAAATTATATCAACACATAGCTAAATTTTTAAAAAACACAAAATACTACTTCTATAAGTGAGGAAAAATATAATGAATTTTAGAAAACATTGTACACAAGAACTTACTTGTGCAGGTTGGTTCAGGGTCCCATCGTCCATTGACACAGATTGAATGTTTCTGCTCCAACTTTCCCCTACATGAGTAACTGAAGTTAAAATTATGATTATATTCATTTTTATCTGATTGATTTGCTTCATTTGCAGTTAGTCTTGGTGCTTGACACTTCTCAAGTTGATCTGTTGCTATAAAATGAAAATATTTCCATGAAAAGACCAATTATAAGAATCAAGTCAATATAAAGTAGCTGTACAGTCAATGTCAAATGAAATTTTGATTTGTGCCTTTAAATCCTATCAACCAAATTATTCCTGGTCACCACTGCATGAGATGGCATTTATGTCCTATCTTTGAACTATTATAGATAATACCTGTCATAAAGATATTTTGTACTTTGGTAACTGAAAGAGCACAAGAGACTCATTTTCTCAGAAGATTTGCATACTAAATAGTTATCAAAGAACTAAATTTGGAAAATATTTTAAAAACACTAGATTTGGTCCCATATTTGAAACCTGTGCAAAAGATTCATATTCATTTGTTTTCCTAATTGCAACCACCACTATATTATCTATAATCTAGAATCCTTAAATATTAAAATAAAAACATCATCTATGGAAATGTAATATAACAAGTTGTTCATTTAAACATATTTTTGAGAGTAGTAACATAATATAATAAAATCTATCTAAAATATATTTTATAGGACATGAATAGTTAAGCAGATTTGTTATATGATCCGAGAGAGAGAGGAAATACTTGGAATAAGAAATTGTGTGCTTTCATTAGAAGTGTACCTTGGTGGTAGAGGCTTGCCTGTCATTTCCAGGCTCTAAGTTCAATCCCTACATCATAAAAAGAAAAAGTAAAAAAGAAATCAGGTGCTTTAAAATCATAATCTCTCTTTTTCCATTCTTAGAGTCTTTAAGAAATTATTATGTATACCAGATCATACTATAATCAAATAATATTATAATACCATAACAACAAAATTTTGCTGACTTTGTTATGAGTTCAATAAGTACTACAGAAGCTTTCAATGTACCATATATTTCAATAACTCAGGGAAGATGAGAGTTCTTTTTGAAAATGATAAAATGTCTGTATTGGTCTCTGTAAATATTTGTTATTAACAATTTGAAAAGCAGAGTCAAGTGAGGATAAACAGAGCAAAGAAAAATCAGTAACTACCAAAGCACAGTAAGTTTGTAAACCAATCTTTAAAACCAAAACAATGAAATGGGAAATTTAAAAATACATGAGGTACTTGAGAATTAGTCTCATCCTTGGGGTTGGTCCACAGTGTTGAGAAAGGAAAAACAAGAGGTAGAAACTAAAGGAACATCTTTGGTCAAGGGAAACTGTTTGTGCCCTGGATTTGATCGGTTTCTGAAAGGATTTCTTTGGTTTTGGGAGTAAATAAATATATTGAGAAGCATGAAAAGCTAGAGTGGTGGAAAGTACAAAATGAATATTGAAAGGGTAGAATTATAGACCAAACTATGAGAGCTGGAAGGACTTATATGAAGCAGACTATAGGCAGTAAGCAGAAGATGACTCACAGGATGAAAAACTCTGAGATCAGAAGAAATAATAATTGTAGCACAACTTTGAGTTTAATTAAAATGAAAAGTTGAGAGTTTCTCATGCCTAATATTAGTTTTCCTCCCATATGAAATCAGATAAAACCATTTGTGTATGAAAAAGGACAAGGATAAGGTGAGGTCCAAAAGGATTGAAGACACTTTATTCACAGAAATGTGTTTAGCAGAAAATGTTAATAATCAACATAATTTATTGTTTCATTTGACAAAAACTTAATAAATGCTTCTGTATGTCAATCCATCTTAATGTCATGAGAACAAAACAAAGGTAATTCCTGTTCTGGAGGAACTCTACTCTGTTCTGAGATTAATTATGTCTAGAAATCCAATGAATAAATAAGACTGGATACCCAGGACAGACTTAAAATGAAGGACCCAGGGAAATCTAGGAAAGAACTCAGTCTAAGAGAAAAGTGAAGAACCTTTCCTTTGGTCATCAAAGGCTTGATCACCAACAGGGAAAGTGTGAAATCAATCAGTGATATTTGATTCCTGGCCCAACACCAGATATGTAATGTTGCTAAGTTACTACTAACACCTGTGCTGCAGCTCATGAACTTCAGCTTGCTAACTTTGAAACTGAGAATTTATCCTTGTCAGAATCTCTGACAGAGAAAGATTCTTATAGGAAAAGCTAGTAACAAGTGGGTATTTTGTGGACTTTATTTGTTTTCCAGGGCTTGAAAGACAGAGTGCCATATAGAACAACAACAATATCTATGTAAAATACTTATATTTTTTGGAAAGGAATATTCACATTTTAATCGTGATTAAGTAAAATCTAGCTTTACACTTATAAGGTAAATAATATTAATAGGGATAGAAACATTAATAAATTCTATCACTACTTTTATTTATTTCTTCTGGAAACTCATATTAAATGCTGAGCAATAAAATTCATTATAGTTAAGACTAGACTTTTTTCAAGAATATCTCTAATTTTATGAATAGATTGCAAATATCTTTTCCATAAAACTTAAACTTCATTAAGTGTGAATTTGAGGAGGGCAGTCTTACCAACACACAGAGGAAGTTGGGTCCACATTCCACTAATACATGTAATTGATCTGTCTCCAATCATTGTAAAGGTTTCTGTACAATTGAACTCCACTGAATCCCCATGGTGATAAGGAGGGTCAGAAGGCTGGGCAAAGCCATGGTCAAGTTCAGGTATAGCGCCACATGTTCTCTCCTCCTCTATGTAAATTTCACAAATACATGTTGATAATGAAGACACAGTATGTATGTTTAAATAAATACAAAAATATTTCAGTTTAAATTTAGTATTTTTAATATATTACCAATACATTTTGGCAAGGTTGTCCACGTTCCATCAACACATTGAATTTTATTAGGTCCCTTCATCAAAAATCTAGGATTGCAATTGTATTCTACTACTACATTGTGTCCATATTCTTCTTTCTTTGTTTCTTTAACTTCCTCATTGAATAGTGGAGGAGGTGGACCACATGACTGTACTTGATCTATAGTAGAAACAATGGTTAATGGTTAAATAGTCTATCTTGCACGTAAAAAAATCCAGAAAAATGGAGAGAATTCTTTTTTAATTGATTATTTTTTCATATGATTAATTGTAAAATTCTTAATTAAAAATAAATTTTTATATTATATTCATATTTCCAAGTTGGATTAATTCTATTATAGTAACATTGGAAATATTTTAAAGCTTTGAATATTTTCAGTGATGTAGATATTTTGAAGATACATACAAACTGTTAGCAAATGTGGTTGTGTAAATTATATTAATTTTTAATTCTATAGTAACATTTTATCATAATTTTTTGAGAAAGTATCATCAATGAGACAAGCATTTGATCAACATCTTTAACTGATTTTCTAATGTACTCCATTGAATTAACTATAAACTGTTTAAGTATTGTTTAGATATACTCTATGAAACTTGAGAGAAGTCCTGTACTATATAATATGTCCAGTATTAATGGTAGCAGTGTAGGAAAAATGGAAAGTAACAAAGTAAATCTCTCTAGTCTCAGCCACCATATTTGTATGTATGAATACTCCCAATACATATTTCAAGAAATAATTGGTGATTAAATTCTTAAATAAACTAGTTGTGCTTTCTGCCACATAGCACATATCAACAACTTCATTAATTAGATTACAGATACGGTGGAAGCCAATAAAAAATTAATAGAAGAAAGAAAAAAGGTTGATATTCAATATTCTAATCATCATATTTACAACAGAAAGATAAATATTCACCTTTACATATTGGGATATCCGGGGACCATCCAAAATGGTAGCATTGTACTGAATCTGGTCCAACTCTTGTAAGTCCTGATCGGCAGGAAAATTTCAACAAATCTCCAACTTTATATTTATCTTTCTTGGGATCAGCCATTAAGAATTTTCCCATTTTGGGAATCCTGCATTCCCTTTCTAAAATAAAAAATTAAAATAATTTAATAAGAATATATAATTAATCGTTGACAAATTACATTTTACATTGTCATTTTAAAATGAGGTAGGTGTTCAGTGATGCATATACAGGACAGTATCAGAAAAATCCTCTTCCTGGAAAAAAATGTTACAGATTAGTTTTATTCACTGCCTAAATTTACTCATCTAGGACTCTGAGAAATATGGTGATATTGAATGGCAATATATCTGTCCTGAAATTTAACTTGCAAATTGAACTAGTTTTCACTGAATCTGGCTTATTATTGATATTTGTAAAATTTATGTCATATTTTTGTACCCTTAAAACACAGAATTATTCTCATATTAAATCAACCTGCTTTGTATAAATTTTAAATTGTACATTTTTTAAAAAACTGGCTTTTCTGTTTAATATAATTGAGAAAATAGATTATATTAAAAAGCATCTCTAATGTATTTGAAGTTAGAGTAACATTAAAAAATTATATAATTAATATATTACAAATAAAGAAAACAAACTAAGAAATAGTTCAAAGTCAAACTGATAGGTGTCTTGAATCCTTACATTAATATTCAATTATTTTATTATAATTTTTATTAATGATTATTATTTTAATTCAAATGTGGAATACTGTATAAAATTCTCTCACATTTTTTAATTTTTTAAAAGTAGGTAACACTAGCAAATAACATTGAAAAATCATTTTTCTTATTTGGAATACCTCTTCCTTACAAATTCATAAAATTAAAGGCTGCAATTATAAAATTAGAACCATGGTAGAAAGAAAATGCATACTATCGAAATTCAAGTACCAAAACATTTATAAATTTAAATGTACAATAAAAACTATTTTTAAGAATAATGCTTCAAAAACTAAAAGTTTTTTCTGTGGGGCTGGGGATGCAGCTCATGCTTAGCAGGTGTGAGGACCTGGAATCAATCCCCAGAACCCCAATTAATTTTGTAATTCTTTTGAGTATTGCAGATTACTTTAGGAAAAAACTACACTTGAATGAGAGTCACTGGTATTCCACTCCTTGAATTATATTAAAATCGTCTACATTAAAGTCATTTTGTCTTTGGAGGGGGTTTCAAGATGGCAGACTAGAGAAGCCACTCTTGTGGCTGCCCAAGGCATGAAACCAAGAAAGCAGACAGGTAGCTTCTTAGCAAGGTGGGTGTACAAAAAAAATAAAACAAAAAAGGTGGGGGGAGGCTTTATTGGAATTTAATTGCTGGACATTCAAGGCAGATCAGGGACTCAGAGGTGGTATAAAATAAAATAAGGAAGAAATCCCCAGCTCCACAGCCACTACCACAACTGGAAGAACCAGCCACAGTGGTCCCTCCATGACCAAAGTGGAGTGATAAAGGAATTAAAGGAGCCCACATTTGGGGTAGACTTGAGGCTTATCTAGATATAGAAAGTTTAGAGATCAAAGACACTGCCCAACTAAACTGAATGGGGTGCTTCACAGTATGCTTGTGTGGGTAAGAAGCCACCATCTCTCCAGACTTTATGCAGAGGACAGAGGAAAGAACCATTTTGCAGCCATGGTGTGGTGGCCAGTACCCAGGAGAGCTGATTCCTGAAAAACCCGAGTTTGTCCCAAAATACAGGCCTAGAAAACCCACACTCATGACATAAAGTGTGTCTAAGTGACTAGGAGAAAATCAAATGTAGAGAGAGGTTTACACAGAGGAGAACTGGTTGTGGAAACCCAATTGGCTTTCCCCCTCTCCCTCTAAACATGCTGCTTTCAGAACCAACTAGAAGAAACATGCCTAGCTAGGAATTCAAAAGGGTGAGGTGGGAGAGAGTGGGTTTGGAGACTGAACCCAAGACCAGGAAGCATGGAATCAACAGGTGATGTAGTGGACTTAATATTGGCTTCTCACCCACATGAGTGGAACCCAGGGGAGATCCCTGGGGTGCAGTCTTCCAACATGGATTGACGATTGCTGATCCCTGGAGGTGCATGATTTAAAGTCTCCAGACCAATTGGCATTCAGTGAAGAACCTAGAGACCCACCTAAATCTAAAGCCCGCCTTCAGGAGTTCCACCTATGGGATTACCTCTCTCTCCCCAGCAATCCCACCTAACACTGCTGAGAAGGGAAGCTAAGAATCCTTTGAACTCCAGCAAACACAATTGTTAATTTTTCTTTTTTTTTTTCAATAGTTAAAATAATACATCTTTATTATATACTAACAACATTATTATTTTCTTTTTTTTATTATTAGTTGTTCAAAACATTACAAAGCTCTTGACATATCATATTTCATACATTTGATTCAAGCAGATTATGAACTCCCATCTTTAATTCATCAAGATCTTTTTTTTCCCTTTTTTTCTTTGTTAAATTGTGACCTTGAGTTATTCATGGACATTTATACATATTCATATTTGTTGTTTTTTTCCTCATTTATAACATTTTTGAAACCAGTTACTTTTCATGGATCAGTATTTTGAGGACTAGGATGTTTGATTACTATATTTCAGTTTTGTTTTGTATTCTTTTAATTTTGTTTTTGATTTTAAAAATTTTTACCTTATATATGTATTTTTTCTCACTTATCTGTTTCTTTTTATTTTCTTTCTCTCTTTTCTTCTGCTAACAGCCAATCTCCATTGTCCTCCCTTCCACTCTTCCTTTAAATTTTTACTTCTATCTTCTCTCCTCCTCCCTCATAATCATCATATCCCACATCACTTTTGTTCTCTCCAGTCTACTATTTGAAATTGTAAACCCTTTTGCAAACATACTGTTTTTACTGTGGGCAATAATTGATCATATAATTTCTGTTTATTGTGACATTTAGCATTGTAGATGTCATAATAGGAACTGTCTGATTTAAAGCTATATATTGTTTGCATTGGTTATTGTGATTATTTGTTCCCATTTAAACAGTGAGGTACTGGAAACCTTCAGGGACACTACAAGTTCACAAGGCAGAAACTCTGCTGCCTCAGAGCCATATTGTCCCATGGGTAGATACATAAACAACATGAAAAATCAAGGGGAACAAATAGCCCCAAACAAACCAAGGTACTTCAATAACAGAATCCATCAACACCACAGTAGAAGAAATGTCAGAGAAGGAATTTAGAAAATATATAGTTAAACTGATCTGCAAAGCAAAGACAATATAAGAAGTAAAATCAGAAAGAAAATAAGGAAGTAAAAGATCATTTCAAAAAAAGAGAGATTCTGAAAAAAAAAATCAAGCAGAAATCCTCCAAATGAAGGAATCAATAAACCAATTTAAAAATTCAATGGAAAGCATCATGAGCATTTTAGACCACTTGGAAGACAGAGTTTCAGGCAATGAAGACAAAATATATAATCTTAAAAATAAAGTTGACTGTGGAGAAAGATGTTAAGATACCCTGAACATAACTTCCAAGAAATATGAGATAACTTGAAAATTTAAAATTTATTGGGATAGATAAAAGCTCAGAGATACAAACCAAAGGAATGCACAATCTCTTCAATGCAATATTAGAAAATTTCCCAAACTTAAAAGTTCTTTTGTGTGTGTATATTTATTTTATGCTGTTTTATATAAATTCTATATTTCATCATATTATAGAAAGCATTGCCCTTAACAAGAAAAAAATGATTTTGACTGTTGAGTACTATCAAACTGCTATATCTATACAGAGATAGTAACTAAATGTGTGATTTAAAGAGAAGTGTGAATGGACAAACACTGGATGAGAAATACTTGTCTTTGTCTAATAGTTCAAATCATATATTTTAGTGCTGATGAACAGAAATGTTAGTATAGATATTTTTACTCTAAGGTGTTTACTACTTTAAGATTTCTGTAAGTCTGTTTTGATTAAGTGGTTTAGGATAATAATGTAAACATCTCCCCATAGACAAGAACTCCCAGTACATTTGAAATAAAGTTGTATATCTGTCAATCTGTGTGCAGTTTTATGCTACATGGCTGAGGCAAAAATACTAAGCTGTCATTTATTCACTCAATATATGGAGACTTACATCTCCTGGAAATGTGATTATTAGTCTTCATAAAATTCGCAATGAAAAGCTACTTTGACTGAATTCGTTTCTATCGCTATATCTCAGTCACTCTTACTTTCTCTTTTCTTCTGCACATCTTCACATTTTCCATGTCTAGTGACAGTGGAAAAGCAATGAGAATCATATATTCATAACTCTCATTCAGTGCTGGAGATTGAATCCAGGGCTTTGGCTGGGTAAGCACTCCAGCACTAAGCTAATGCACCAGCCTTTTTTGAAGATGGACACTTAGTATTGTAAAAGCTTCTGGCTGCACACAGCATGTATCTGCTTATAATCACATACATAAAACTATTTTTATTAATTGGTTTATTATGTGCCTTAATTCATTGGATTTTGGATTGATTCTCTGATACTGCAATGAAAAATCCAGAAAGCAGAACTGAGTTTGTGGGTTTTTTTTTTTTATCATTTTCCCCTAACTTATAAAAGAAATTGCTTGATATCCCAAATGGATTAAATTTTAGTGGATGCTCAATCCTGCCAATCAAGTCTCAAGATGTGGTATCTTCTACTACCATTTAAATTTAAGCCTTTGAATATTACAACGGTGTTCCTCATCCTCTTTCCCTCATGCACTATTCAATCTCAATGCCCTTGTCTCATACTTCAAAATACAATAGAATCATCAGTTTCTGATTCTTTTCAGCATTAGATTTACACACCCATGTTCTTTACTTCCTCCTGTTACAAAATTGGATGGTCTTATTGGCAACCCTTACCAGTATTTCCAATAGGAGCCCCATATTGCCAAATCCACCACATTTTTATAGTCTTCTAATTGGACATATCAAAGAAACTACAATAATGTAATTAGATTTCCTTGGCTGCATTGCATGACAGAAATATGGCAAAAAAAGTTACATGGACTATTTAGCCTACTAACCAAAACAATCCTTTGTATACGGCCTACAAGAGGCATTAATTTAACTCACTGCTTTAAAAATAGATTATTATCTTTAATGTTGAAAATACTCCTTCCTCCCAGTTTGTTAAATCAGGAGGACCATCATGATTTCATGCTGTTCTTTAAAAATATAGGTAATTCACATAGGTAATTCAAATTTCTCAAAATTAAACACATGCCGATTTATTTTTTTATATTGAAAACAAAAAACAAAAATTTCTGAGACAGTACTTACCATAACATGTGGGTATATGTGACCATCCATTGTCCTGACATACTATGGATCCTTTGGCACGCTTGAATCTGTTTTCAAACCCAACATTACATTCATAGTCCAACTTGTCATTGAGTTTAAACCACGTGGCGTTACTTTTGGTTTTAGCATTCTCAAATGCTGGCATATCACAAGATTCTAATGCATAATAAAATTGAGGATTTTATTTCTATTGTAATTTAAATGACAATACTAGTAAATCTCACCCCAAGAACACAGAGTTTATAAGTAAATATGTGATTAGAATTAAGTACTGTACAAAAATAGCCTAAGACCAATGATAAGTCATTTTTCTGAAAGTTACAATAAATTAAAAATGTTCCTTCATAACCTTTTTCTGATTGCTTAAACTCTCTGAAAAGTTTACTTTAAAAACTTTTTAAAATTCTATTTTATTTAAGCATTTACCTTATGCTAGTAATAAATGCTAGTAATAGAATAAATATGTATTACTTGTTTTAGAAGACTGGAATGGCATTTTGAGAATTAAGATGTCAGACTTATTAGTAGTTGTGACATAATAGAAGAAATGTGGATTGATTAACAAAATATTAATGTATTTTAAATAAGATTTTCTATTTCTTAATAAGAAAGTTTCATAATGGATTATTTATCAGAATTTAGCATATGATGAGTTTTATAAGGCAGTAATTTGTATCATTTTTTAGCTAGATGCTGTAAGCATAGAAATTGTAAAATAAGGAATAGAAATTAAGAAGTAAGAATGAATATCTTAGTCATGTCATTTAAAGTATGTTAAGTATTGCTTGCAAAATATTACTGAATAACTTTGAGTTTAATAAGATAAACAGAAATAATCATTCCTAGAAAATCTTCATTAACCTTGGGTATTATAGCAGGAAAATCTTTCAACATAGCAAAAACTGGTATCATCTTGAAACACTCCCTCCTTTCAAATACCTAGATGTTTATGCAGATGTTTAAGGGGGGAGGTTTTTCAGAAGTAGACCTATCTTACAATGTCAAACATATAAGTTATAAAGGTTAAAATATTCTGAGGTTATATACCAAGGCTCCATATTTTCACTAAGAACATTACTTTTATGTCTGGGATCGAAGTCTTTGATATAAGAGGTTGACCACCTAAAACACAGTTATACCTAACAGTGACAAAGATCTCAGCTAAAATAAATGAGTCAGCACCAGAATACACATGAAGCTCTCTGAGTCACTTCTAAATCATAGTATTCTTTAAAATGTCTGTCAGGGGAGGAAAGATGTACTTATGTTCTACCATACTAGCAATTCTGAGAAAAAAAAAATGATGACTTATACTTTTCATCAAATGTTTTTATTTGCCTATTAAAATGAAACATAGTTACATCAAGAAAGAATAAAGTTAAACTTTTGTATATCATCAGGATAATGATACTAATATAATAAACCACTTACTAACACAGGAGGGTTGAGCTGACCATCCATCTTGGAGGCAGGTAATTGATCCCGATGTGTTACCATCTTCAGTTACATAGCCTGGTTTGCACTTATATTGTGTTACTTTATTTAGATTATATATAAAGTCAGATTCAGAAAGAAACCCATTCTTAATTTCTATATCATTTTTTGAACATGTTTCTAGAAGGGAACAGGATAAGGAAAAGACAAGCACATGTAATATAATTATATAAAGACTCTAATAATATGACAGTGCAAAAAATAATGAGCCATTTGTGTCTAAATATCTGGAATAATTATTAATCATCCAGGTTATTGTGCTACAGAAATTAAGCAATGAGTTTCCAAAGATATTAAATAAAGGTCCTTTATGAAATGTTTTCCTTTGGTAAGAAGGTTAGAATTAAACATTTATAATCCTTTCTGAGAAATTATAAGAAGTTTCAATAAAATTAATTACAATAATGTAATTCTAATTACAATAATGTAATTAGATTTCCTTGGATGCATTACATGATAGAAGTATGGCAAAAAAAAGGTCACATGGACTATTTAGCCTACTAACCAAAACAATCCTTTGTATACGGCCTACAAGAGGCATTAATTTAACTCTCTGCTTTAAAAATAGATTATTATCTTTAATGTTGAAAATACTCTTTCCTCCCAGTTTGTTAAATCAAAAGTAACATTATGATTTCATGTTGTTCTTTAAAAATATCTCTAGTAATTCAAATTTTTAAAAATTAAACATATGAAGATTTATTTTTTATATTGAAAACAAAAAACAAACAAATTTAGCTAAAGGATTTAGGGGATGAATGAATCCAGGATCCGACAGCATGCCATAACTCCATAGGCAATGTGTTTATTTTCCCTTAGGACTTGCTTTAAATCTGAAAATAATCTGAAAATACCCAAGCCTCATCTAGCCAATTGGGGTTCCTGAAATCAAGTAATGATCTTAAAGAATCTGTCAGCATAGTTACTACTGGCTCCAAGAATTTAAAATGTCATCATAATTGTGTGCTTAAAACATAATGGATGCATAGAGTTCAAAGAAGATAACAAAGAGCAACATATTTCTTGATGTCCTCAGGCTAAAATGATGATTCCTCAAATTACATATAACTTAACTTGAAACTAAAAGTTGACATCTGTCAGTTATTAGGTTTCTTCCCATAATAAAGCTTCATGTGTATATAGATTAAATAGGAAACAAAAATAAAAAAACATTAAATATGTTTGACTGAATGATAATAAAAACATTAAATAAAACATAAACTAACACTTAAGTAGTGCTGAAAGGGAAATTTAGCATTAAATAGCTATAATTCCATTATTAAAGAATAAAAATCAATAATTTGTTCACTTTAAGAAATTAGAAAGAAGCAAACAAAAGCCAACATGATTATCAATTCTGGGGAAATAAAATAGCAGAAATCAATTGGAAAACAAATGAGACAAAGTAAACAAGCAAGAGTGATTTTGTACAGAAATAAAACTGATGAAGACCAAGCAAGAATAATAAATGGAAACAGAGTTCCAGCCACAAATAATGAAGAAACTGAACTAATAGTTGAAATCGTTTTTGTTGCGGACTGGAATACAAGCAGCACCACCTGAGGACAATCTCAGAGATAAAACAGGAGGAGTTCTCCTGTAAACAGCAGACAGGAAGAATCCAAGCAAAAGATAGCAGTTTTGATAAACAAAGGAAACAATAATCAGTGTTTTAAAGGAGATTGAGGTCACAAGAATTTTTAGGATAGAAAACCAAAGAGGAAGAAATCATAGAGTGAAAGAACTACAAATCTGCACAGCAATCCCCTAAATCCTTTAGCTGAATGCTGACATGTTGTAGGACAAAATTCCATGACACTGGGCAACAAAGAATAACTACCAGAGGGAAGAAAACCACTGGAGAATAAGGTCAAAGATTCCAGAGCACTCACACATTGGGAGAAATTCAATTTTTTTTTTTTTAAGAGTAGAAAGAGCCTTGGACTAGATCATTTAGTAAAGTCGCCTTATTAGTATTCTGAATAAACTAGTCCCGGAGTAAAAGCTCCCTGAACCAGTGTTAATAACACTAAAACAGATAAAAATGTTCAAACAAACTTAGTTTTTCAAAGCAAAATTCAAAACAGGTGATCCAGGATGGGGATGTAGCATTTGCCTAACATTTGGGAAGGCCCTGGGTTCAATCCCCAGTACTGCAAAGAATAAAAACAAAAACCAGGTAACTGTCCACGTCTCCAACACCAAACACCAAGAAGTAATGACAAAGAAAAGCCTGTTTCTTCAGTCAGAAGATAGAAGGAAAGTGAAAGAAAAAACAGTTTTGTCAATATCTACTTCCCATCCCACATACACACCAAAACTATTTGGGTAATGTTCACTCTTCTCCATCCAAACATCAATGTACAAACTGTATCAAAATTCTGGAGTGCCACTGAAGCATTATGGAATGAATTGATGACACTAAATATCTGTACAGAAAGGATTAGGGTTCCACATCAATTACTTTAGCCTGGGGCGGGTGGGGGGCTGGAGTTGTGGCTCAGTGGTAACGTGCTTGCCTCACAAGCATGATGATTGGGTTCGATTCTCAGCACCACATACAAATAAATAAAATAAAGGTCCATCAATAACTAAAAAATATTTTTTTAAAAATTACTTTAGCCTCTATCTTAATACATTAGCAAAAGAAGAAAAAATTGAATATGAAGTGTGCAGACAAAAGGAAAAAACAAAGATTTGAACTAAAATAATAAAGCAGAAAAAAGAAATATTACATATAATATAGAATATATACACATTACATATTATGTTATATACACACACTATATATTAATACATGATATATTTATATATAACATATACACATAATATATATTTATTATATGTAATTTACATGATATATAGAATATACACATACATATACACATACACACATAAAAATTAGAAGCTGTTATTTTAGAAGGTCCCTAAAATTGATTAAACTTTTAAACAGATTTGTCAGGAAATAACAAAAGAAATAAAACAGAGAATATGCAAGTTGCCAATAATAGCAATGCTAGTAATGGCCTCACTAATTTTTATGTATATTAAAAGAACACAAAAGGAATATTTTGATTTAGGTCAATGAATATAACAACTTAGGTGAATTAATTAAGTCATTGAAAGCCACAGACTACCACAGCTCACTCAAGAAAAAATAATGACATTAAAAATATGAGTTATATATCTAACAAAATACAGATAGGATCTTTATGCTGAAACCACAAAACCAAGGTGTAAGGTTTCAAAGAAGGTATAACTAAATACAGATATATATTTATGAATTGAAACCCAATAATATTATATTGATAACCTATATATATGTATATATGTATTACATATACACATACATATATGTATATATATATGTGTATATAAAATATATATATATATATATATATATATATATATATATATATATAT